CTGCTATGGATGCTCTCGACACGAATTAATTCATAAGTTTAATTTTACTTTTACTATCTCGACTTCAAAAATTAGGAATGCAAGGAGGAATGAATGATTTTGAGTATTTTGTTGTTACAATTTAATTTAATTTTAATATATATAAAAATTCCTTATATGATTTGCATAAGAATATATTTTTACTTTCTAGATATTAGCTATGATGATTGTCAATCTCAAAAAAACTACTAAATCTCCAAAATAAGAATTAATAGTAAAAAGAAATTATAGATTTATTTATATAAACTAATATTGATAAATTATGGCAAGATAATAATTGTTGCTTTTAAAAAATAAATTTAAAGAAAAAATTTGTCTTATCATATCATTATTATTCTTTTCATTTCTATTTCATTTGGAAGTTTAAGATAATCTCTTTCATACATTAAAATAATTATTATTATATAATTTTTATCGATTGTTATCTTAATCATGAATTAAATGTTAATATTCATATCTATACCCATTATCAAATTGAAGCTAAAATTCTTTTTAACATTTATAAATTGTTGAAATATTAATATAAAAGAAATACCAGAAATAATATGACTATTTTTATAAAATTTGAGTAGAATTAATTAAAAAAAAATGTTATTTAATAACATATCCAAATTAATAATTCTCATTTTTCTTAATATTTCCTGATTTATATTTCTTAAGATGAATCATCCCAAGTTATCAAATATTCTCCATCATCACTCATTTATCCATATATATAATAATTACCAAATTGAATAGATTATTCAACTTTAAATTCCTCATTTTATGTCTTTCTGATTAAATTGACACAATTACCATGCTTATTCACTAGTAATTATTTTGATTTAATAAACTATTATGGAAATAATCCCCTTAAATCAAAATCATATTCATTTACAATAATATCTTTTGTTTTAGTAAACTATTGATTTACACTATTCTTTTTATAGACATGCATCTACTTGCCTTATCTAGGTTGAAATGTGAATTAATTATTGTTGATAAAGCATATTCGATATCCATAACATTCAACTTGAATATTTTGAATTACAATCCACTTTTTATTCTATTCAGAATATTCAATTATTAATATTTGTTCATCCTTACCACAAGAAATAATTTTATTTTATTAATCATTTAAACTTAATTAATAAACAAAACTAGTATGATCTGTGATAGTTTATTAACAGATCCATTCATTTTATTTATTCCAAAATTTAATAGTATTATCAGTACTACTAGATATAAAAATATCTTCATTATTATTCATAATTAAACATCGAATAGCTTTATTATGTGCTTAAATAGTTTATGAGCAATTCCATTAATTATTATTGCTTGACCAAATTATAATAGATCCATCACCATCTCCATCTCCAGATATCAATTCATTTGATTTTTTCATGAAATATAAAGTGCTTACCCATTCTGAATGTTCATTTAAGACTTGTAGTAATTTCAACATTCCTTACTTAAATTCATATATATTTATTTGATAATCACAACCAAGTGCTACAATTTAACAATCTTTATTATAAGCAATAGCATAACAATTTTCATCTTACTTAATAGAATTATTTTTAATTAATTCATATGTAAATGGTTTTAGGTTTGGTTTTAATATAGGATCATTTTACTCCAAAAATGATTAATTCTTTATTCTTTTAAGTATTTCGTTTAAAATTAATTTTCCTTATTCAATTGATTGTTTAAGTTATTTGAATAAATTTTGTTCACAATCTTCCATTTTACATAAATCTTTGATTAATTTGTCAATCTGCGATACTCCTAATTATGGGAATTGTTAAATATTAAAGTTAAGATAAGGAAGGAACAAATTATTAAGACTATCAAGGGTGACTTAAAACTCTTAAACATTCTTTTCAACGTTTTTTATCCTAATGATTCCTTTCTAAATCCATTCAAACAAAAGTTCTATGGATGTTAACATTTCAAGATGTTCGCTATGGCGAGGCAAACAAAAATTACAATAAGGTCTTTAATTTGGGCATGTACTATCTATACAAAACCCAATTATTTATTGATTTAGATGATCTGCTTAAGTACATCTAATTTACATTTCCTATTTTTATTAAAATTGATATTTAAAAATATACGAAGTATTTTTGATCGTAATAAATTCCTTAATTAACTTACGCATTGCAGACTTAAAATACATAATTTAGATTAACAGTCTCCAAAATTTATATGATAAAAAAGAATAAATATACAAGAAAATTCAGAGTAACAATCAACCAATATTTATGAGACATCGTATTCCTA